TGGAGTATTCTGCAAACAGGTAGGTGGTCCTTGTTTTGTGTGCTGCAGGTGGAGTACAGGTCAATTTTCAGTGGCTCATGGATTAGGTGCTACTCTGAGCTGTTGGTGTTGGTACCACCCCCTTCAATCCATCCTAGACACGGCTGCCAGAATAAATCCCCAAAGAGCAGCTCTTGTGTTGTCATTCCCTTTCTCAAAATACTCCATGCCCGTCCAAGGCCGACGATCACAGGCTATGACAGGTATCCAAAGAGCTCCATCATCTGGGGCATTATTGCCCACTGTTCTCTTTGACATACTTGGGTGAAACAAGCACTCCGCTCAGTAAGTGCCTCACACCTCCCCCACCCCGGGCTTTTCCTCACATTGCGGTCTCTACTTGGAATGCTTGATTCAACTCCCCACCCCCCAATTCTCACACTTTGATAGTCCAGCCTATCAAAAATGCTACTTTCTATACAATGACTTCTTTTAATATAAAACTGCAACATCTTTAATTCAGATTTTGTTTGGCATAAGGAAATACAGATTTTAATATATGACAATGAATATGCCCTCTAACAATGCATACATAAGTATATTAGGTGCATTGCTCTTTACTTGATTCAGTGGTTTTTGATTTTGCTTTTACAATGACTTCTTGATCCCTGATCACTTCTTTTGAATTCTCATGGTGCTTTATCTGAAAGTCTCTAGTTTACACCATTTTTTCTCCTATGTTGAGGTTATTATTGGATTATTTCTTATCCTTCCTAAAAGAATCAAGGTCTAGGTGGGCAGAGATTATCTTTTGCTCTAGAAATATAATTATTAAAAATTCAGGCAAAGAAAGGTTTGCTTTCTATGGAACTTACAGCTGCATTTTTGTCTAGCAATGTCTATATTTCAATAAGGTTTATTCTTGGCTCTGCTGAGGATTATCAATAATTTAGTTATGCTTGATGTTGATAACATAGACCTGATCTGAGGCAATCAAATTTCAGCAACTTAGTAAAATAAGAGTACTTTTTCAAGAAGGGTTATACTGAGAAGACATGTGTTTTAGGCATTAAAAAAATTTGCCCATTTTGGGTTGTAAGGCATGGTGGGATAAATTTTAAGTCAATATTTCCATTTTATACCCAAAATATTCCACTGCGGTTTCCAATAGAGTCTTTTTTGTCTATCTTGAACTCGGTTGCATGTCATCTAAATTAGTAATCATGTTGCTCATTAAAACAAATGCACTCTGTCGGTGGTAGAAGAATTAAATTCAATTTAGCAAAAATGCATGGAGTACTGACTGTGTAAGATGATGTTAGGGAATTAAATTACATAATGAAAGTAGTCTATTCATTCAAGTGGTTCAAAATCTAACAGCCCAAGTTTTAAGGCAGTCACACAAAAGCAGTTGGAGAACATTTTGTCAGGATTTGTGGGATGTATTGAGTCAGAATAAAGACATTTGTTTAAATTTTCATTTACTTATACCATTGTAGGAGTACTTATTTGATTTTTTTTTCATATTCAAACATCTTTTCAACCCTACTGCAAAATATGTACCTAGAGCAATCTAGATCTTAAGCAATACAAAATTGTTACAACCTGAGCTTCCCCAAGGCTACTCTGAGCTTTGAAATATTTCGTTGTCCTCATTGGGTCAATGAAGGTATCAGGAACCCAGGAATAAATAGCCTTCATAGCACATTGCCATAGCTCAACTGATTATACCATGTAATTTTTACTAAAAGCATAACAGTAAAATTTGAAAAAGCTAGCATTCTGAGTCTGCTTTTTTATTTTTATTTTTCTGAGTCTGCTTTTGATGCACTAACAGAGAACTCATACTTCATCCACCTCAATGATGGGCCTTGTTCGATGATAGTTTATTTGTGTTTTGATTATTTGGATTTGGTGGGAGTTTTTGATTAGCGTCTATCCTACAAACTCCCAAGAATTCTATGGAGCTCTTAGAAGGAAATAATTTTGGAAATAGGAGGGACTGGGCGCTCTATCTAGCCCGAATTTCTCTTTCTCCAGGTAAGATTCTGAGACCTACAGTGGTGAATTGCTCAAGGTCATTTGTAATTGTGACTAGAACTTACCTTCTCACATTTCTAGCTTAGTGATTGATTAGTCCTCTAGGAGAAGCGGTTAGAAAGAATTCTAGTTATCATCAGCTTCGTGAGGTATGTGGTAGATTAAAAATGGTTTTTAATGAAGGACCGGCCTTCAGTTAATTTCACATGTGCTGCCCAGCTTCAACACTTTTTTCCCAACATAAATGTTTCTTTTGAAGGCATCTCTTTGTAGTTGTCTCTAAAACTAATTTTTCCTTCAGTGCTCTTTATCCCTTTATCTTTTACCTTTATCTCATGTAAAACCATATCAAATGTACTTTTTTTCCCCTAAAATATTAACTATATCTCAGCCACAGAATATCTTTTATCTAGCACGGCTGTGATATCTTCAAAGCGTTCCTGCAGATGAGTTATGCAAGCCTGGATCCATCGTGACTAGCCATCTTCAAGTGATGCTTTAGCACTTTGTATAAGATGATTGTTTGACTAACACCCCGGTGTCTTCCATCATTTCAATTAGTACAGGAAGACTGGAGAGAGAAGAAATCTTCACCTGGGGTACTACTAGTTGTAAATTTTCATATTGCTTTCAGACACAAGAAGTCTTCTGTCTTTAGGTTTAAGATCTATAATTATATGCTTCCTGAAACTTAGTTTTTCTCAGAAGACATGTCAATGTCTTTAGTGTTTCTACATCCAAAGGTTGCTTATCCTCTTGTTTTGCTTTAGCATAAAGATAGGAATTGTTGGTACTTGAACAAGTTTGGAGAAAAGATTGTGCTGCTCTGATATTGGATAAGAAGAAAAAAGGAGAGTTGATTTATCTCCTATGTGAGAAGGTAATTATGTTTGTACTGATCGTTACTCTTTGGCCTGTGAATTCTTTCCTCTCTATTTAATTTCTGGAAGAGAGGTATTTGCTTGTAAGATATTTTATATTTCATTATGAAATAATAAGCGCTAAAGCAAGTTTGATTAAATTATAGCTATCCAAAACAGAGAATTTTCAGTTCCAAATTCAGTGTTATACAATAGGGCCTGTCAATTAACAGTAATAACACCATGGTTGGAGCAGATGCATGAGCATATTTAGCTGGCTCCTGGATGCATCCTTTGAAATAAATTTAAAATTCATTTTATCATTTTATAATAAAATAAAACTTTCACCAAGTAGTAATGCTGTTCTATGGTGGCATGGAAAAGTATGAGAAGGTACATAAAATAGACATTTATAGATATTCCTTTGGCTTCTTTCTGCAGCAAAGTGGCTCCAGAATTGATTTATTCCTCTTTAATGTAGTTCCAAAGGAGAAAAAGCAAAGAATATTTACCATATTCATGCTGCATCAAGATAATTTTTTTTACTATATTAAATTAGTCTATTCTTAAGAAATATAGGCATTTAAACTGGATTATAAAGACAGGATCCCTCATGTTTTCCTTTGCAGTTTCCAAATTTGTCATTTTGTGTTTAAATTAGAGCCACATTTTAGATTTGTTGTGTAAAAGTTAACCACCATCATTCATTAATAAATACTTTCCAGTGTTGATTGCATGCTAAATAATAAAGTAGACAAAAAAGCTCTTGAGTTGTCTACAAACCAGTAGAGTGATGGGATACAAACAAAAAAGGAAATTGGAATTGTCTTTGGAACTATGATTTACTTAAAACACATTTCTGGATCCTAGATAAGAGGGACCATATTAAGCTACTCAGAAAAATGTACAAGCTGCATGGTCCACAGTAGCCCCTGCCATTTAGAAGGGCACATCTAATGAAATAGGCAGATCATTTCTCTTCTGCTCAAAATCAGCCAGTTTCTCACGTCACTATGATTAGAAATCAAATCCTTACTGTGACCTTAAGACCTACCAGGCTTAATAGAATAGGTACCCCTCCCTTACGCCCCATCCCATCCTTGCCATCTCTCTGATGTGCTCTTTCATCATAAGCTTTCTCCCTGTACTGCAACCAGCCAGGGACATGCCTGCCTCAGGGTCTTTACACGTTGCCTAAGGGCTTTCTTCAGATAGCCACAAGGGCAGCTTCTTCACTTTATTCAAATCTTCACTCAAAGCTCTCCTCAGTGAGGTATTTTTTGACCATTATCTTTAAAATAAAAACGCAACCCCACACTTCACATTTTCTACATATATACCTTCCCTAGCATTTATTAACATACAACATGCTATATATTGTACTTTATTACTAACATTGACCTTTTTCAAATAGACTGCACGATCCTTCATGGAAACTTTGCCTTTCACATTCTTTACTGTGTTCCCAGTGCCTGAAACACTGCCTGCCACACAGTAGGTGCTCAGTAAATATCTGTTTAATGGATGAATAGTAAGACAAAAAAAGTGTGTTCACTAATAGCTATGACAAAATAAAGAAATTATGAATATATAAGCAGAGGATGGATTTAGTCTGCAAGTTATGGGACTCTACAGATCTGTGTGTGGGGATGGCCTTCAGCAAGTGGAATCCTTTCAACCTCTGTTGCATTTTCTATGAAATGGGCTTATGTGGTGAATAAACTGCCTTCTCTCTCCCATAAATACCAGTGGCAGACTGTTATTATTTCTTTAGATCTTTTTTCATTTTAAAGAGAAGGTAGGAATATATCTATTCTTTCCTGAGAGTAATTATGAAAATGCATCTTCAACTGTTATGAATAATTCCACTTAAAATATGCAATGTTTGATAATAGATCTTAAATATGAAATTAATTTCTTTTCTTTTCTAATCAGCCTCCTCCTATTTGGAGTCTTAATAGCTGAAATAACAGAGATCCATCGTGTTTTTAATCAAATTAGCAAGCAGATTTCCTCCCTTATTGCCCTTCCATAAAAATCTATTTAGCATAAAATAAGGATGCTGTAACATTTCCAGGCAATACTTGATTATGTACAGACGTAAATGCTTCCAATTCTTACCAGTTATTGGAGGGTGCATCTAATTTTATCTTCACTTGTAATTCAGCGATCTGTTTTTCCAGTTGTTTCAATCTGGCATATCACTCTTTTCTCCTCTCAGCAGAAAAAGCTTACAACGGCTCTGCATAGCATTGATCAAGCAATTTCCCTAAATGAATAACTGGTGTTCTTTATAGGCAACACTGGAAACTGCAAACAAATATCATCATTCGTTCAACTAATTTGAAAAACAATCACTAAGGAAGAAAGAGGATTAGAAATTAACTTCCCACAAAAGTAAAAGTCACAGATGATGTAATAAACAAGTTCCATTACTCTGTGTGTGTGTGTGTGTGTGTGTGTGTGTGTGTGTAGGTGGGCACACATGCGTGTATGGCTAAAGGTCCCATGTTGTGAAAACATAGCCAGGTGAGGGTATGGAAGGAGAGAGGGGTAAACAGGAGACCCAGTTTGGAGGGGAAAAGCACACTGATTAAGAGGTACATTTCACTGTTTATCTGGAAAGCCTCACCTCATCACTGGCTAAATCAAGGCTTTCTGCGACAGGTGCACAACCAGAGTTAGCTATCTCCAAGTGGCAAAAAAGCAAAACAGAGAAGGTGGGGAGGTGGAGAAGGAATCTGCTTAAATTATTTAAATGATGTCCCTTCACTATCCTCAGTCATAAGGCTCCTTCCTGGCTTCTAACAGGGCAGTATGGTTCCCACTTACCTTCTTGGTTCAAAAAGACCCATGACTTGGGGCTTCCCTGGTGGCGCAGTGGTTGAGACTCCGCCTGCCGATGCAGGGGACGCGGGTTAGTGCCGCGGCCCGGCAAGATCCCACATGCCGCGGAGCAGCTGGGCCCGTGAGCCACTGCGGCTGAGCCTGCGCGTCCGGAGCCTGCGCTCCGCAACAGGAGAGGCCACAACAGTGAGAGGCTCGCGTACCGCAAAAAAAAAAAAAAAAAAAAAAAAGACCCATGACTAGGCTAACCTGTCTAAAATTTCAATCCACCCACCAGGTTTATATCTTTATAGTTTAAAATAATGTTAAAAAAATACTGGTGGTACAAAAGCTGCTAATGGCCCTGTACTCAGCACTGACAAAGACTAAGGCTATGACATGCCTGAAGACTAAAAGTTGAGGCATAAGGAAGAAAAGGGTGTACTAAAAAGCAAGAAAGAATATAGGAAGAAAGCAAGGGAAAGAGGGAGAAAAAGGTGGATGGAGAGGGAAGATGGGATGAATGAAAGGAATGAAGAACGGGAGGGAGGGAGGGAGGAAGGAAAGAAGGAAAGAAGGAGCTACATGACTTACCTGCTTTTAAGAAATTATCTACTTGTCTAACCATTAATTTCTATCTTATTGGGGCACTTTTCATCCTTGCACTCTAGCCATACTGAAATGCCTCCCATTTTCTAAGCACATGGAAGCTGTTCCTGTTCCATTGCCTCTGCTCACTTTCCTCTCTCTGTCTGGAATGCCACGTTCTAGCAAACACTTCCTAAATCTCCAGACCTTTCCTGCCCACTCCATGCTTGATGCCTACACCATCCCCACTCCACGTCTCTATCTTAATGATTGAAATAAATTTGGCAAGTATTAGTTTGCCTGTGTTCTTTCCTTCCTTGGGCAATAACCCACTTGAGGCAAGAGGCTTATCTTTCTGTTCTTGTTTCTCCAGTACCTAGCGCAGTGCCTGGCACATAATATACACTCAGTAAATGCTTATTGAATTACTGCCTGTGAAGGAATCCTTAACTTTTCTATTTTATAGGCGAGATAATAGCATAGGTGGCATTTGTGAGGGCTCCTGTGCTCCTTGGCACTGAGCTGAGCGGTTACATTCAACACATCATTTCACCCTCATAACCAACTTACAAGGAAATGTCATTTAGGATCTGCATTTTCTAGGTAGGGACCTCAGGTTTAGAGAAGTTAAGTAATTTGTCCAAGGTCATGCAACTACAAACAATGCATGAAATTAAGTCAGGAGGCAATGTAGCACGTAAAAGCACAATCTTTGGGGTTAAAATGGTCTTGGCATCATTATTAGCTGTGACATTGACTACTTATGCCAATGCCAACTAAAAACTGGCACTTGCCATCTGTTTCTACAAGAATGAAGTCACTAGTAGCCACTGCAGCCGCTGACCTTCAGCGCACCCTGAAAGGAGTTCAGGGTGGAGATCAGAAATGATGCACTCTGTGCTCTGGGAAAAACTGGCTGAACAGGCTTTCAGACAGACATTTTCAGGAGGAGATTTTACAAGCCCAAATTCTTGAGTCTTCTCATAAGAGAGAAGAGAGTGGTGATATTTACATGCTACTCCCTACACATGATATGTGTATTTTAATGAGGTTTTTGAGGATTCATATACTAAATAATTTATCATGATCCTTCTGGAAGCTAGTCCTTTCTGTAAAATTTTCTGAATAACCTGCAATATTTATCCCATAATAGACACAGATACAGAGAAAATAAACCACTCAATTGGGGGTGGGACAAACACAAAAGAGTAAAATTACAAACAGCCTTTGATCTTGGATAAGATTCATTCAGTTGTGCTATGCTCATTCATGATGAACCTTTAAGTAGCTCCCAATCCAAGTCTGTTTTGAGTCTGATCATTTTCCTCCCTTGCAGATCTTCTGGAATTTGATCTTTTGTTCACTTTTGGCAAAGTGCAGCCAGACTTTTCTCTCAGATTCTGACTTTGGAGAGGACACTGACATAGCTCAGCCCTTTTCTGGTTGTTGACCTTATTTACAGCATCATTTTTTTTTCCTATTTATGGAGGGAAAGAAGAGAATTTGATTACTTTTACAAGCACAGATCAATCTTGCCTTTAGTATCATTCTTTAATATAAGAGGAAGCTGTACCGATGAATTTAGGAACTAGAAATTTGCCTTAGGAATAGAAAATTCTAATGGGATTGTCTTTGCCGTCTTCCAACACCTGGCTCCATCCCTGAAATTTCTAGTTTTTAAAAGGATTTTACAGCTTTGTAGGCAAGTTTATGAGCTATTTGTACAAACTGTTGGCCTCACCCCTGACACTGCCATTAAAATATCCTTTCGCAGATATACATATATCGTTTAGATATGTTTGGACTACTCAATCCCTACAGAAGAGTTGGGATGTAAAGTGGAGGAGGGATGAGATTAGAACTTGGAGAGGGGAAGCTAGCACACAGGGAGAGGGATGTTTTGAATTGTAATAAACAAAAGTAGTCAAATCATAACCAGCTAGATCTTAGAGAGTACAACGAGGATCTGGAGAAGTAATATTGATAGTATGCCATGAGTTGGATCCCAGCAAGAACTGGTCAACCACTGTCAAGTTCCCCAGATTTCCTGGGTTCTCAGCTTGTAACATAATCCTAGAGCTCTCTCTGAAATTTGGGGTGAGTTAATTCACCGTGCTTCCTATCCCTGCCATCCTGGATTGCCACATAAAATGCAAGCCCCTGTGAAAATCCACCCTTACTTTTCCTTTTACCCCTGCACTGCTCTGCTACTCCCTTCCTGTCTTTTGACCCAAACCCCTGCTTCTGCTCCGTGCCCTCTGGAACCCTTGCCTTAAGTTCCAGGTCTGTACTTGAGGCTCCTCATTTTCCTATACGCTACCAGCCTCAGAATCCTTTCTCCTCAATACCCCTCTACTTTTTATCCTCTATCTTTGGGTAAAATTTTATATATTTGATGCTCTGGCTATCCAGGTAGATAACTTTCTTTTTTTTCCCCTCCACCATCTACTTTCCCACTTCCTGCTTTTTTTTCTAACAACCTCTGAATTCTTTGGCATGTGATTCTCAGCTCTGATTAATTAAGTAATTATTGAGGTATAGTTGATTTACAATATAGTGTTAGTTTCAGGTGTACAGCAAAGTAATTCAGTTATATGTATATATATATGTATGTATGTATGTTTTCCAGATTATTTTCCATTATAGTTTATTACAAGATATTGAATATAGTTCACTGTGCTATACAGCACTATTTACAATAGCCAAGACATAGAAACAACCCAAGTGCCCATCAATAGATGACTGGTTTAAGAAGATGTGGTATATATATGTATATATACAATGGAATACTACTCAGCCATAAAAAAGAATGAAATATTACTATTTGCAGCAACATGGATGGACCTAGAGAATATTATATGAAGTGAAGTAAGTCAGACAGAGAAAGATAAATGTCATTTGATATCACTTATATGTGGAATCTAAGAAATAATACAAATGAATCTATATGCAAAACAGAAACAGACTCACAGACATAGAAAACAAACTTATGGTTACCAAAGGGGAAAGGAAGGGGGAGGGATAAATTAGGAGTATAGGATTAACAGATACACACTACTACACATAAAATAGATAAGCATCACGTTTTTTTGTTTAAACTAATCCTGCCCTAATTGAGGGCAACCACAGTGTTCATACAGATAACACATCCAACCTGATGGTCAATTGGTTGCTTAACCATGTCACCTCCAATGACCTCCATCTGCAAGCTCCTTTAAGCATCATCATTACGGCCAGTTACCATGACCTACAGGTTTACTTCTGAAATCTTAACACTCAAATATCCTATAACTTTCTTAGACTCCCACTTTTCTCACTTCCTTGCTTCCACTGCATGTGCTATTGAATTTGCTTGAGCTGTAAACCTTCTGATTTCTTTGTCATCCTCTTCTTATCTATTCCATTCCTTACTTAGACATTATCTCACCAAAACTCTCAACTCCTTGACACCTTGATCCTGGGTCAATCCAACTGTTTTCTCATTTACTGCACTCAGACCGCTGATCACTTATAGAGAAAACCATGCGACCAAATAGTGTGGTGTCGATACAGATCCATTGTTCCTAACTCAACTGGGTCCTCAATAGCCTGACAAAAAAGTCCCTAGTCACTCATCCATTCCTCAGAATGGCTCCTTCAGAATCCTCAGAACTTTCCTAAACCCTCTATGGTTTAAACTTCTTTTCATTCTAAGCAGAAGAAATTGCCTTCTACTCCAAAGAGAATATAAAATCTGACAGATAGGAAATCGCTCAATATTATGCATTTAAACTTAACAAGATATCTGCATGTGTATTTATCATTACCATTTTTCCTTTAGTCATTGTGAAAGACAGATCCCTCTAGATCCCGTGCCTCCCTGCTTCTTCACGAATCTGAGTTAATCAAAGATCACT